GGAACCTAGCGATCCAACCGATGAACGTATTAACTATATTAGGTCGTATGGGCGATTAGATAATCTTACACAAAATACACTAAAATCATATGTTCTTACGGAATTCTAGTAATGTCTTGATCCTCAATAGCAACAAATTACCCATTTCACAAAATAAATATTACCCTTAAACCCTAAATAGCAACAAAATTTATTATCAAAATCACCCAAAATAATACCCAAACATTTTCTTCCAGATAATAATTTTCCAACTAAGATATCGATACAAAAACACACCTGGTACATCTAATTTCGCCGGAGAACAAGAAAGACGGGCCAGGGAACCGGTGACAGCCTTCGGTAGTTCTTCGACCGAATCAATCGACACAAAAACACACTTGGTACATCTAATTTCACCGGAGACCAAGAAATACGGGCCACGGAACCGGTGACAGCCTTCGGTAGTTCTTCGACCGAATCAACCGACCGCCGACGACAGGGAACCGGAACAGGATTCGGAGAGTGCCCTAGGAAATTTTTCAATCGAACCAGACAAGAAGCTTACCTGTGCGGGATGTGGCTTTCGAGCTCACGGAAGAGGACAACGGCTTCACAAGAATTTTTTGCGCGAAGAGAAACAGAATGAAGAGAAATACGATTAGGGAGGAAGAAGAATGAAGAAGGAAAAAGGGGGGAGTGCAGAGCAAGTTTTTATCATTAGGGACTGAATCCCAAATGATAAATGGACAGAGGGATTTTTGCCCAATTGTCCGTTTAGTTTAATGTATTGTTTATTACATGAAAGCATTGTTTTGTAAAATAATAATTCACGTTTCAACAACAATAATAATAATTAAATATTAGTATGTTAATATATATATATATAGTCCTTAATTTATTTTTGTTGAAATATAAATATATTATTCTTCCTTTATTTTAGTCATATGTATTTTTTATTTTTTACAAATTAAAATTTATGTAATATTTTATTAATTAATTAAAAACATATAAAAATATCTTTATATTATAAGTTTATATATAAAATAATGCTCATCTGTTAAAAAATATATATTTTTTTTCTATTTGCCATCAACAAAAAGGATTGTATCTTTTTTTCAATAAAAATTATTTTTCTTTTTGTTTTAAATTATTTTTATTATTATTACGACAAAAAATAAACAATATGTTAAAATTCATGTCCAAATTAAATAAATTTATTCTATATTCTTCGTCCCGGACAAATGTATCATTTTAAAATTTTATAGTAAATTAATAAATATTATTTTTTCTATCATGTATTTTATAATATTTTTTATTTTGATATGTCTTATATACATGCAATATTTATAAAAAAAAAAAAAACTAATTACATTTTATCTTATCATATCATTTAAATAAAAAATAAATAAATACATATTGTTCTTTCATTCAATTACCTAATTATCAATTTATTATGCTTAATACTAGTGCGTGAATTAAAAGATATATTTTATATTTACAAAATAATAAATGATTAATTATGAGTGAATTTAACGAGATATGAAATTTAGGCACGATCAATGTGCATAATATATTTTGTTAACATGACAATTAAAAAATAATAGTATAATTAAACATATGTACAAAATATTTTTTTATAAATTAATAATATATTTCTATTAAAAATTATATAAATCAAATAATAATAATTTAATTTAAAATCAAAACCAATCACACAGACTTCTAAAATGTAATTCACACAAATATTTTTAAATTAAATTTCAAATCGAAACCCACTATTGGTTAATTCATTTTCTTATGTATTAAATAAAATAAAAGTATACTATCACTATTTATGTCTTTTTATTAATGTATCTATTTTATAATTATTCATAAAATATTATTTTTTATATTATCTAAAATATTTTTATATATTTAACATAAAAAAAATATATTGTTCTCAAAATAAAAAACAAACTCAAGGTAATGAAAGTATAAAAAAATATACCAAATTGAGTTGAGTTTTTCTTCTTTTTTTTTTTAAACCGAAATAATATATGAAAATTCAAAATACAAAATAAAGTACTTATTACGTATACTTTAAATAATAAGATTATTATCTTCAATATTATTTCAAAATTATATAATCAATAAATTAGTTAATATAATACTCTTGCCATCATCAAAATGTGTGTTCACATTTTTAATGTAAGTAAATATTAATTGATACTTTTTGTTAATTTTCATATTTTATAGTACAAAAAATTATAATGACAAATAAGTTTATTATAGTAAAAATAAAAATTAATTTGTAAATTAATTTACACAATTAATTTAACCTTATTAGAGGAAGTAGAAAAATAAAAAATTTAGTGAAAATTAGCAAATAAAGTTCCTCCAATTTTTTACCAAAAGATACAATTCTATAACACCAAAATCCACCCTCTAGTATTGTTGTCGTAAAAAAATCGCTATCGACGGCTTAATCAAAAAAGTCTGTCGGAATTGATTTAATTGTAGGTTTCTCCGGCCTCCTTAAGAAAGGATCCGGGCTATCTCGCTATAACCGAAAAATTGATGAAAAAAAGGTAAAATAAACAAAAACGAAACTGAAAATTAAATTGGAATTAATCGATGAAAATTGTAAAAATCTGGAAAAAATACAAGAAAATAATGTAGAGAAAAATTACGAAAAAAAAGAAGAAGATTCATGATGAATTACGTCCTCTTCCTCTAGTTCTATCCTTCAATATTTATTATGTTTTTTTGAATTATGTTTGGATAAGATATTATTCCTGATTATTCTCAACAACTCCAACCACCTTTACTTCCACGCACCAGGCCGATTGAGTCCTTAGGCTAGTCAAGTCGGTAGGCCCACTCGCTGATCTGGATCTGTTATTGGGCTGCGAATCTCGAGGATTTGGACTGCACTTGTGTTGGGCCAGTCTAATTAATTTTGAGTGTGTACAACTATTATTTCCCAATAAAAATTATTACGATCATATAAACATAATTCACTTTTACAATAAATAGACTTTCACCGACTAAAATCTCTAAATGTTATATTTATCGAACTAAATCCACCCCCCTAAAAAAAAAAAAAAAAAAGACGACTCAAGTCACCTATCACGTATGGTTCATCTAATGTGACTTTTTCGTCGGGCCTGATTTGCAGGGTATTAGATTCGGCCGGGGGCTTACCCAGTACGCACTTTCGAATAGCAGCTACGGGTTCTCACGCCATTAAAAAAAAAAAAAAATACTACAATACAGTTTCGTAAGGGATAGCCTATCACAACAGCAATTCCATCGTTAAAATTTCGTTAAATTAAAAGAATTTTTTTGATAAAAATACTTTTTAATGATTGCCAAAAATAGAAAAATGAGAATATTATTGAATGAGAAATGATATAAACCAAACACACCCCATAATTCAATTAATAAATGAAATAACTTAATATAGAGATCATCATTACGTGTAATTAATTTTTTATTTTTTTTTATAGTTATCATTATTATTATTATTATTATTATTATTATTATTATTTTTGATTCGCACGTGCAGCGTACTAATTTTATTAATTAGATAATATACATACCATAGTTTTCAAATGGTTGACTATTTGATTTAATCTTAATAAATAAATAAATATTACTACTAAATAACTAATTGAAGAAGTAAAGTTATTACAGAAAGGAAATTGTCAGATACAAAATGGCAAGGGATGTCAACGCACATTTGAAGTCAACCATAGTAAAAACAAAACAATTATTTGGGTTATATTTGAATTTTTTAGTTTTAATTTGAAAAATATTTTAATATGATATATTGTAAAAAAATAATACTCCCTCAGTCTTAGGTACCATGTCTGCTATTATATAAATACAGTATTTTAAGAGGACTGTAATTAGTAGATAATTAAGAATCTATTAGTAAAAATAATTATCCTATAATATAAATAATTATAAATTAAGATTAAGATAACTAATTAATTTAATTAAAATTAAAAAAAAAAGTTGAAAATGAGATTAAAGTGTGTAATCATTTTCAAAAAAGAGAAAGTGACATGGTATGTGGGACGGACAGAAATGGCGATGTGGACATGGTATCTGGGACGGAGGGAGTAATATATTTTACAATAAAAGACTGAACAATGATAATTTTATTTCAAATTATAATCAAATACAATAGGTATGTTATTGTATTTTAATTTGACATTTTCATTTAAATTATATGTAAATGTCTTTTAAAAATATTTTTTTTAATTTTCATAAGACAATCATAAAGAGATAGAGCTATAGACGAGTGGAAATGACATGATATTTTTATGTTTGAGTTTGGCTCGTTAAAAACTCGAGTCATATTTGTTTGTTAAAAGAAATTGATATTATGTGTAATGTTTATTTTACATATAACATAAAGAAATCGAATAAAAATAATAAAAAATTAATATTTTTATATTATATTTTTAAAAATATATATTAAATATGAATTTTTTTTAAAGATAGACATTAAATGAAATAATAAAATGGAACAAAAAAATCCATTCAAAAAAAAAAAAAATCATCAATTTACCGAGATATCACTTAATAATTATTCCCTCAGTCGTACTTAAGGGATTCATTAATTTTTTTTTAATATTAAAAATATATTTATATTTGTATAATAGTATTATAAAATATTAATAAAAATATTATTATTATTTTTTTTTATTTATGTAAAAAATAAATGAAACCTTAGAGCCTAATTATTATTTTAAATTGCATAGAACATTAATGTGCATTTGCATTACAATTAAATTTTTTAAAAAAACAGCAAATTCGAAAAAGCGCAATTTTATAATAATAAATTAAAGTCCATTTATAAAGAAATCGCATACCTAACCTCAGACTCTAACACATAAATCGTGCTTCCCAATAACTACAGATTCTCACTTTCACTTTCTCCACAAACCCTCGTACTGCTCTGCCACGTGTACACACACATATATATATATATTATACGTCCAACTATTCCATTTCCAATTACCCAACCCAAAATGCCAACGCCGAAACACAGGCCGTCCGCCGCTCACCCTCCGCCGTCCGCGGTGGCGCCGGACCAATCTCCGGCCAGGACGCCGACGCCGGTCTCCCTCCAAAAGCCGAGTCCCAAAAAACCCGTCTCAGGGCCCACAAAACTTTTCCGGCGGGTCAAGTCCGTGTTCCGATCGTTTCCAGTGATCACAACCCCGTGCCGGATGCCGAGCCCCGCCGTCGGCGGCGGCGGCGTTCAGATCCACGGCGGCGGCAGCAAACAGGTGACGGGAACCCTCTTCGGGCACCGGAAGTCCCGGGTGAACCTGGCGATCCAGGACCACCCGAGGTGCCTGCCCCTGGTGGTCCTGGAGCTCTCGATCCAAACGGGGAAGCTGCTCCAGGACATGGGGGCCGGCCTTGTACGGATCGCCCTGGAATGCGAGAAGAATCCTCGGCCGTCCGATCATCAGAGAGTCAAACTGATGGACGAACCGATTTGGTCCATGTACTGCAACGGGAGGAAGGCCGGGTACGCCGTGCGCCGGGAGGCCACCGACGACGATCTAAATGTGATGCAGCTGCTGCACGCGGCGTCGATGGGCGCCGGCGTCCTGCCGGAGACGGCGGCCGGCGGCGGCGCCGGCGGGGAGGAGGAGGGGGAGATGACGTACATGAGGGCCAATTTCGAAAGAGTTGTGGGATCGAAGGACTCGGAGACTTATTACATGGTCAGCCCCGACGGGAACACTGGACCTGAACTCAGTGTTTTTTTTGTTAGGGTTTAATTTGATCATTCATTTAATTTAATTTAATTTAATTTATTCTTTCATTGTTATATATGTCTCGTGTATGAAAATAAGGGTGTAAGAATTTATATATATATATATATGAGTAATTAGCAATTTTGTTTTTATTCATTGAAAAACGAAGTTGTCAATATTATTTATTTTATAAATAGATAATTAGTGTACATTAATATGAAATACTTAGGTTAAGTGTATAGTATTCGTGTAATTCTTCAAAAGTTACATGAATAGTACTCCTTTACCTATATAAAAATATTAAGGATGGGTTAAATAATGACAAATTTAATTTATTCAGTAAAATTCAAATAATTATTTAAAATATTTTTATAAGTACTTTTTAATATTTAATAATGAAAATCACAAAACGGAAAAATACAATCTAAAAATAAATAAATAATAATACAGTATACATTAAAAAATCAAAGGAGAAAAGGGTGTGTTTGTTTGGGGTTTGGATTTTGAGTCAGCATTTGAACATGAACAGTAAAAATTTTGAATTTGAATAGTTGTATGATGTGATATAAATAAGTGTTGTTGTAATATTTTGAATGTAAAATTAATTTTTAAAATAATATAAAAATTAAAAATAAATATTTAATTTAATATTAAAAAAAAGAAAAGAATGAATATTAAATATAAAATCCAATCCCCAAACAAACACACCCGAATATTCCTATTTATTTTTGTAGGACACGTCGATATTTTTATTCATTTTTATAGATATTCCCGCTCATAAACAGTTTCCATTTCATTTCACCAACAAATTAAACCGACTGACAGTTCCCGTTCTTCTTCGCCATCTGTTATCGCCGCCCACGATGTACAGGCGTTCTCTTCTCTTCCCTCGCCGTCGAAGGAAGCCGCGAAAAGCGGGGGTACGGGCCCCCGATCGATTGACCAATTTGCCATTGTTACCGCGGCTAAAAATCCTGTCCAGCTTGCCGATCGACGAGGCGGTTCGAACAGGGGTGCTCTCGCGGAGATGGAGAAATCTGTGGAAATATATGGACGACATTACAGTGACTTACCCTTCCAAGAAGCTCTGGAAATGCTTCGATGATTTGGAATTGGACGGGTACGAGTCGGAAGAAGCAACTGATGAGTGGGTATATCAAAACATGAAGGCAGCAGGCAATATGCTGCGACAATTACGAAACCGTCATATCAAGAAACTGACGTTGCACTGCGAACACGATCCTCCTGTAGAGTTCGCGTATCAATGGGTAAAATTTGCTTTCTCCCGGAAAGTCAAAGTTCTAGTATTGAAATTTTTAGGAATTAATTACAGTGCCCCGGATTGGTTCGGCAAGAACTCCTCTCTCGAGGATATGTCGGTACGGGGCTGTTTCTTTTTCGAAATTGATGGTGAGGTTCGTTGGACTTTATTAAAGAGGCTGTCTCTTAGGTTTTTGCGTATTTCAGACGGGGAGATGTCGAAGATCTTAGATGGTTGTCCTCTTTTGGAGGATTTGATTTTGCGCAATGTTAATAATTTGAAGACACTTTCTGTTGCCTGTCCAAGTGTGAAGAATTTGATGATTATGAATGAAAATAGCGATATTGAAACTGATTTGAATGAGATCACTGCTCCCTGGGTTCAATCTTTGAAAATTGATGAAGTCTTGACGGAGAATGCTCTTCAACTGAAGAGTTTATCATCTCTACGCAAGGCACATATTAATATAGTGTATAAAGGGAAAAATGATAATTTCGATTGGTTTGTCAAACGCGGCTCTGAAGTTCTTGAAGGTGTTGTTCTGATTGAACAACTTTCACTGAGGGGCGATATTGTAAAGGTATGGTTTCTTATGTTCTTGTGACTTTTAAAATTCCAGATTGGTATAGAACTAATTTGTCCATAATCTTTCTATCCACTCATACCATTTTGCTATAAATCTGGCTTTATATGTTCTGTTCTTGTGACTTGTAAATTCCAGTTTGGTATAGAACTAATATGTCCATAATCTTTCTATCCACTCATACCATTTTGCTATAAATCTGGCTTTATATGTTTTGTTCTTGTGACTTGTAAATTCCAGTTTGGTATAGAACTAATCTGTCCAGAATCTTTCTATCCACTCATACCATTTTGCGATAAATCTGGCTTTATATGTTTTGTTCTTGTGACTTTTAAATTCCAGTTTGGTATAGAACTAATCTGTCCACAATCTTTCTATCCACTCATACCATTTTGCTCTAAATCTGGCTTCATATGTTTTGTTCTTGTGACTTTTAAATTCCAGTTTGGTATAGAACTTATCTGTCCATAATCTTTCTATCCACTCATACCATTTTGCTATAAATGTGGCTTCATATGTTATGTTCAATGACTTTTAAATTCCAGTTTGGTATAGAACTAATTTGTCCATAATCTTTCTATCTACTCATACCATTTTGCTATAGATCTTTCTATCTACTCATACCATTTTGCTATAGATCTGGCTTTATACGTTTTGATGAAATCTTATGCCTCTAGCTTCACTCTGTGCACCATTTAGAGCCAACATTGTGTGATACTTTTGGTTCGTTTGCTTTGCCTTTTTGAGAGACTAATTCGGTTGAATTTATATTTCTTGCCTTCTCCGAAATTATCTGGTCTACCATTTGTTGGTTATGTGATGGGTTATGCTTTGTTAGCTTTTTTGCGCATGATTGTTAGGGAGATAGCTCAAACAAATATTTGCAGAACCTTAACAAAAAAAAAATAAAAAATAAGAATGATAAATTAAACAACACAAGAATGTACGTGGTTTGGTCAAGATGACTTACATCCACGGGCAGAACAGAGCAAAACTTTCTATATCAAGAAAGCAAATACAAAATCGGCTCGAATAGCAATTCTAGAGCCCATAACTCACAATCTTCCAAAAGCCCTTAAAGCAAACTAAGTAAGCCACAACTATATATGAAAATGCTACTTGTTGATTTTGGTGTGTTTTGAAACCCAACCCAATGCCCCACCTATTTATAGGGAGAGATTTATGGCTACTTGGCTCCACAAGCAATGTGTGACAATGTTTTGTTTCAATTTTTAAAACATTCTAATATGGGACTAAGCCACATAACAATGATGTATATCGTGTTTGGTTTCTTGATATGCATTTTTCGATTCTTCAGTAAAAATATATTATACTTCAATTTTAGATTTAGAATTAGAATTAGAATACAAATATGTTTATATAGTTAATGCATGTGGATTTATATATAAAACTAACTTTTGTATTAGGGTCTTGTTCATGATGCATTTTTCTTTGGATTTTTTAAAGTTGAACTAAGTTGCATATGACCAATTCGTTAAGTTTCTATTGTTTTTTCTTTTCACTATTACGTACATTAATCTTGGTAATTGTAACTTTTTACAGTTCTTGTCTGTTATGAAAATATGGAAAATACCTTGCGGCTTCTTGCTTAGTTTGACGCATTTGACACTTGGCGTATATGGTTGTTTGCATGAGGTACCTGGAATAATGTATGTACTCCAACATGCACCTTGCCTGAAGACATTGATTTTCAAAACAGGATATCTTCAGGTCTGGAGTCCGTCCGAATGGGAGGTTTGTAGTCTCTTTACTTTCGCAGCCGAAAATTTTGATATATACAATGGAACTATATACATTCTAACACTGTATTGCAATGGGCAGGATCAAGTCTGCAGATGGGCCATAAGTACCATCAAAGACAGAGTCGCTTACATGAAGGATCAAATCCTGAATTTAGGGTGTTTGAAAAATATAAAGATTCTGCACGCAGGGTGTTCTCACAGACAGACTGCTGGGCGACTTGCTTTTGATGTGGCAATTTATATCCTGAAGCATGTGACGGCTTTGGAAGAGTTTGTGCTGGCGTTGCCGGAGAATGATAATCCATGTTGCATGCAATGCTTGGCAGGAAGCAATAATGTTTGCGGTTATTTGGAGTCTCTGAATCAGAAGTTGTATAACCAGTTGGGGGATCGGTTCAAATCCGATGAATGGGAAGCAAGCATAGCTGGATCTTGTTTGCGGATTGTGTCCCGCAGGTGAGTCTCTCTGATATGTCCTTCTTGAACATGAACTTGTTAGTTGACCGCACATTGGTACTATTCATTTGCTTGTAAATACTGATATTTTGGTTTGATTGATGAAATGACATTTTAATACGTATATTAGTCCTATGACCAATTTGATAACACGTGCGAGATATAATTGAATTTTGTAACCTTTTTATGTATAAATTGTTTCACCTATAGAGAATTAACAGCGTGGATCAGATAAGATAATGAAGTAAAAAACATTTAGCAACTGCGATGTTTAAATTGATAAATCTAACACGAGTGCTGATCTTTAAATTTTTCTTTGTTTTGTTTTGTTTTTTTCTTAATGATAAATCTGTGGCGCAAATATACTCACTCCTACACAAATTACAAAGTCCTTACTTTAAATTATGACAGCATAGGTTCTAGTAGTGATGACAATGGTCGGTTCAGTCGGACCTGAGACTCGACCCGAATACATATGGTTGGACTTGAGATTCGAATCGAATTCGATTATATCCGGATTCGATCCGAACAATACCCGATGGATCTGACGGATTTAATTTTTTTTTTCAATTTTTAAATAGTAATTTAAAATTGAATTCGAACCCGAACTCGACATATATTAAAATTTATATATTTTATTCAAAAATATTATAATAAAATAAAATATAAATAAATTAAACTAAAAATATATTTTTAATATAATTTATATTATTAATTTTTTTTCATATATACAATTAATATATTTGTAATATATTAATTGGGTCTGAATCAGGTTTAGATCTAAATAAGGTCTACCTTTGAACTCGAAATTCGATTCGAATCCGATACCCGAATAATTGGACCCAACTCCAAATAAATGAAATGGGTCTGGATCGAATCTATCCAAATCCATTGCCATCCCTGAGTTGCATACACTTAATCTCTTTTGTACAAACACATCAGAGTATTTAATTTATTAGTGGAAACCATCAAATCGCACGTATGAATTGTACCCATTTCTCTCCTGTTTACATTTTTCTTCTTCTTCTTCTTTTTTTTCTTTTTTTTTTTTAAATTTATCGGAAAGATCAAAAATTTTATAAATAAATAATAATAGTTAAATACATATACACCGGGCATACCCGGAAAGCAATCCTAGTAATCTCTTTTGTACTTTGTTTCATTTTATCTTCTGTTCCCCCTTCGTAGATGCCTCGTCGCCGTGGTATTGACGAAGCAATGCCTCGCCCACCAACACATTGGGATTACAAATTAGAACAATATTTCTCATATATGCTGGTTGTATTTTATTGCTGAAGAAATAAAAGAGAAAAATTTTCCTCCAGAGGTGTGGTCGCAAATAATAAAGGAGTTCTTCGAGAAACAGGTTGCGATTACGATTATGAGCAACTAACTGGAAAATTAGCCAATCAGCTGCTAATTCAAAAGGGCTTGACTAATCAAAACTAATTATATAAAATTCTGCGCGCACGCAGGGGCCATCACCAAAGGGCCAATCCCTACAATTAATAAAATTAAACTCAGCTGGAGCTGTCGAGCAGCCACAATAGCCTCCCGGCAACATTGTTCTTGTCGCTGCACTTTCCTGTACATTTCTCGGAAACTAAGGGCATGTTTCTTTGGCACTAAGTCTTGGAAGCTTACTATATAGATTCACTGTTGGGAAAAAAAAGGTCGCAAGACCACCCCGTAAGCGACAACCTTGTCAGCGTAGGTTCGTAGGTTTTAACCAAAAATGATTCTTCCTATTCCCCTTGCATTTATCATCCCTAACCATCCTTCCACATTCTTCCATCCCTTCAAATAAAACGCAACCCCCATTCTTCCACAAATTTTTCTTTTCCTGTTGGTCCGCCTTGTTACAGATCCAAGTAGCAACTTGCAAGAAAGAAAGCGACATTGTGTGTAGATCGTGGTGCAGAACATCGTTTACCGGGTGGCAGCGAGAGCGCGTTTAACCTGAAGGGTCAACGAGATTTATGGGTGGATCTTTTATTTATTTTTCTGCATAATAAGTGACCGGTAGAATAGGTCTTCTTGTTGAGTCTGTTGAGACTTTTTCGAAACTGCTATTTCTTTTGTATTGGCTATTTAACGCCCAACTCGATTACTGAATAAACCGTCGAAGCTTTCTCGTGCATATTGATTCTTTTCTTCCTTCTTTGCTCTAATATCTGGTATCAGAGCCAAGTTAGCAAGTTTGATTAGAATCTGAGGAATACACGAGTGAAAAGAGAGAGATGTCGAATGAAGGGCAGAACCTACTGACGATCCCAAAATTCGACGGTGACTACGACCATTGGAAGATGCTGATGGAGAACCTACTCCGATCAAAAGAATGGTGGCATCTTATCGATCCTGGCTATACGGAACCTGCAGAAGGAGCCAAGGAGACCGATGAACAAAAAAGTGCAAGAGCAGAATTGAAATTGAAAGATCTGAAGGTTAAGAATTATTTATTCATAGCCATTGACAAGAGCATTCTAAAGACAATTCTTCAGAAGGAGACGGCTCGGGAACTTTGGGAATCAATGAGAAAAAAGTACCAGGGAAGTCAAAGGGTACAAAGATCTCAATTACAGGCATTGCGAAGAGAGTTCGAAATTCTCGAGATGAATGAGAGCGAGACAATCACAGAGTACTTTGCCCGGGTGATGTTGGTTGCCCACAATATGCGCAACAACGGCGAACGCTTGGAAGATACTCAGATCGTCGAGAAAATATTGCGAACCCTCACCGAGAGATTCACCTATATTGTGGTGTCCATTGAAGAGTCAAAAGATATTGATCATCTAAGTGTTGATGAACTACAAAGCTCTTTAGTTGTACATGAACAGAAATTTCGCAGAATCATAAAGGAGGAAGAACAGGTACTAAAGGTGACAAATGAAAATTTCAGAGGAAGAGGTCGAGGTAGAGGTCGATGTATGACAGGAAACAACCGAGGAAAAGGACAATGGAGGCACCCGGTAAACAAAGCGACCATTGAGTGCTATAATTGCCACAAATTAGGACACTTCCAATATGAGTGTCCTACTTTGGGAAATAAGGCAAACTTCATTGAAACTGATGCTGAGGAAGAATTGCTCCTTATGGCATGTGTTGAAGGGAACAAGGCCACGAGAGATGAGGTATGGTTTCTGGATTCTGGATGCAGCAACCACATGAGTGGTAATCGGGAGTGTTTTTCAGAATTGGACGAGGATTTCAAACACACTGTGAAATTAGGGAACGATAGCCGCATTGCAGTTACAGGAAAAGGGAGTGTGCGCATGAAAGTAAACGGGTATGTTCAGGTCATTTCAAATGTATATTATATACCTGAACTTAGAACCAACTTGTTGAGTATAGGACAGCTTCAAGAGAAAGGCTTGTCAGTGCTAATTCAGAATGGAACATGCAAGGTCTACCATCCAAAGAGAGGAGTGATTATGAACTCAGACATGAGTGGTAACAGGATGTTCTATTTCATTGCTGAAATGGAAACACAGTTCCCCATGTTAATGAAGGCTGAGTCTTTAGAAGTGTCACACCTATGGCATTGCCGTTTTGGACACTTAAGCTACAAAGGGTTGACTGCTTTATCAACTAAAGAAATGGTGGAAGGGTTGCCCCAGATAAAAATTCCACAAAAGCTATGCTCAAGTTGTTTGGTAGGAAAGCAACATCGGGAGAGCTTCCCAAAAAGGAGCGCGTGGAAATCAACACAGAAGCTGCAACTGATCCATTCAGATATATGTGGTCCCATTAATCCAACATCAAATGGCAACAAGAGGTATATTTTGAGTTTTATTGATGATTTCTCACGCAAAACTTGGACGTATTTCTTGAATCAGAAATCGGAAGCTCTTGATGTCTTTATGAGTTTCAAAGTACGTGTTGAAAAAGAAGCCGGAACAAGCATACTCTGTCTTAGAACAGATAGAGGAGGTGAATTCAACTCAAATGAGTTTGCCAAATTTTGTAAAGACCAAGGAATCAACAGGCAACTAACTGCAGCTTACACACCTCAACAAAACGGTGTCGCCGAGCGGAAGAATCGGACTGTAATGAATATGGTTCGAACTATGTTGGATGAAAAACAAATGCCAAAAGAGTTTTGGGCAGAAGCCGTGAATTGGTGCACTCACATTCTCAATAGATGCCCAACGTCAGCTGTAGAAAATATGACGCCTCAAGAAGCTTGGAGTGGCAATAAACCAAAAGTTGATTATTTTCGGGTATTTGGTTGCCTAGCACATGTACACGTTCCAAATCAAAAACGAAGAAAATTGGATAACAGAAGCAGACCTCACATATTCATTGGTGTTAGCAAGGAGTCTAAAGCATACAGGCTCTTTGATCCGACAACAAACAAAATATGTATCAGCAGAGATGTTGTTTTTGAAGAAAACAATGGCTGGAACTGGAAAAAGGGTACTGCTGAGGTGATCCCAAATGCAATTACATGTGGAGATAATGGTGACGCAGATGATGAGAAAAGGCCAGTTGACGTCTCATCGGAAGGAGAAAGTGATTCTGGCACAACACCAGCAGAAAAATCAGCAAGCTCATTAGAAGAAACAGGTTCAGGAGAAGAGGAGGAATGCACTACTCCGAGTGCCCCGGAAAGAAGGCCACGCACAACTCCCACATGGATGGTGGATTATGTTTCTGGGGGAGAACTATCTGAGGACGAAACAGTCATGATGATGATAGAAGATGACCCTGTAACCTTTCAAGAAGCTGTGAAAAATAAGAAGTGGAAAGAAGCAATGGCAAAGGAAATGAAATCTATTGAAAAGAATGGCACTTGGACGTTGTGCACACTACCAAAGGAGACCAAAGCTATAGGAGTGAAGTGGGTGTTCAAAACAAAGTTAAATGAAAAAGGAGAAATAGAGAAACACAAAGCAAGATTAGTGGCTAAGGGGTATGCGCAACAATATGGAATTGATTACACAGAAGTTTTTGCCCCAGTAGCTCGTTTGGATACCGTCAGGCTTATTCTAGCTATAGCGGCAAAGAACAAGTGGGAAGTACTTCAATTTGATGTCAAAAGTGCATTCCTTCAGGGAGATATCAAGGAAGAAGTGTATGTGCAGCAGCCAATGGGATTCGAGAAGCAAGGAGAAGAAGAGAAAG